ACACTCCAGGGAACCTTTTTACAAGTGAGGATGTTGAGGCTCAGTCACAGAATTGGTAAGCGTTTAAAAAGTAGGATTTGGACTTGGTTTTTCTCGAGAGCTATTGTCTTTTCCTCTTGGTCACATTTTTGGCCTTCGTGGAGCCAGAGTAGGATTTCTCCCTCCAGTTCATTACTGAGCATTGTACAGAGTGACTCAGTGTGGTGTTCTATCTCCGACACCCCACAGCTGCACCCAGCCACCCTCCACTCAGCAGTGACAGTGTAAGACAGATGTTAGCAGCTGATAAGGAATTCAGAGGGCTTGGGTTTCATGATAGAGAAAACTTAAAGAATAATTGTAGAGACAAAAAACAATGCTAGACTTTACATTCAGAAAGGAATATGATGACAGAGTCTGGGACCTTTCACATCTCTTAATTTTTCTAAGCCAAAGAAGAATTGGTATTTTTAATAGGCAAGGTCTCTGCTTGGTAGAAAATTGTGGTTGGAGAGAAACTATTTCTGTTTTTATTGCAAATGAGGTAAATAATACTGCCAGGTCAATGGAGACAGCTAAGCCCGGAAAAGCTGCTTACTTTGCATTAAGAAACGACAAAGTCAGAAGCAGCTCTTTATTCCATCTCTAGAGTTATTCCAGGAATGGCGCTGAAAAGTTCAGTGGATCCCATTTTAAACAAAGATCTGTTAGCTTTGTTTAAATCTGTAAAGCCGCCCTTTAAAACTTTAAGATTCTAAGACCTTTCACTTCCTTTTTCACGTGGAAGCACAGGCTAAAAGTTTTCAATTTCAACACACACCAAAAAAAAAATTTAGTATGAGATTTGCATGAAGAATACGCTGTATCAGCAGTTTAGAGTCTTAAAGAAGTATTTGTTACACTTGATATTTCTTACTTGGCACCTTGCCACCGGTGCATTCTATGGATTGTATAACAAAATGAATTTCTCAAGAATTGCCACTTAATTAAAAGAAGACATAGCCTCTGTAACTGTGGCCATTCTTAACTTGGTCCATTAGCAATCAAGTGCTATCCCACTGTCTAGCAACTATTAAATCAGCCTACTATCCATTAAGGTTTAAAGCAGTCAAGAGACAGAGGTAAGATGCTATCATTCTGTTTTGAAACTAAAAATTTTGTGTAAGAGATTAAGAACTCAGAAGTAGCACTAGCTACCAATTTCCCACAATTTTACAGTAGTTATACTTCTTGTTGTCATTATTATTAAACTTAAAATATCCTCTATGACATCAGGATATTTTCGTAATATGCATTGAGTTATTATTGCTTCATCATCTATGTCAGCGTCCAGATACCCACCTGAAACCCACCCGGGCTGATCTGAGATTACAGTGAGGTGGGGTGTCTCGTTCCCCACCTACATGTGGGGTCCTTCCTTCTCTCTCACCGGCCACTCTACTCATAGCAGGTCCCTAGGTTGGATGACCTCATTTGGAGAGTCGAAAAATCACCTTTGCCAGCTTGAAACAGCAAAATTTAAAAGAACTCAATGTTCACTTTAAAATAAGGTTTCTAGGACAGTGCAGTGGGCACTTTACCATTCTAATGTTTCTGAAATATTTTTAGCCATCACACACACACACACACACACACACACACACACACGTGACCTAGTTGTTTCACCCTCCCTGTTTCTCAGTATGATCTGTGTGTGGACCTGCAACATCACTGGAATTTTCTAGAAATGCAGCATCTCTGTTCTTCCCCAGATGGAATAAAAACTGGCATTGAACAAGAATTCCAGGTGTTTCATATGTTCAGAAATATCCCAAATTTCAGAAGCTGGAATCTGGAACTTCAGCCTGGCAGAAAGACTGAGCGTGGAACTGTTGGCGTTGTCACTGACTAAATTCTCTCAATAAATTCTCGAGAGAATCCTTGACTCTTTCCAAAAAAGGGGAGATTATGAACTGGGTGGTACAGAGGTGAGAGGTGAACCTGGGGAAGTAAAGGTTTTAAAACCATAATAATGTAACAGTAGCAGCTGTGAACTAATTCCAGGGGAATAATGCTTGAGACTTCACTAAAACACATGAGTATTTCTCAATATTTTTCATTGACGGTGTCTTCAGTTAACCACTGGCAAAGAAGGCTCCACGATGGGGAGAGGGATGATGAATGGTGTGACCTGTCTCTAGTCTCCAAAGAAAACTGTTCCTTTGGATGGTGTGATCCAACCAGCATTAGCCTTTAAGAACACTTGGGGCTTGGGAGTGGGCCTACCAAGAGTGAAATCAACAAGTCTACATTTAAGAAGTGAATACTGGTACCCTGTGTTAGATAAACTTCCCTTTTGCCACCAGCATTTCCACTCAGAATTTTCCATGTTTCTGTTTTCAGGCAGTGGCTTCATATTGTTCACTGCTACAATTTCTATAATGAGATTAACATTTATTGGCTAATTCTAAATTTCCTGTTCAATCCATTAAGTTCAGAATACAACAAGGCTTAAGGGACTCCTTGTTACTGATGAGGAAACTGAGAAACCAAGACAGTAAGTAATTTTCAAGAAATTATGCAGCTGATAAGTTGTAGAGGCAGGATCTCCCATCCCAAAGATCTTCCTTTAATTATTACTGACCGCATACTACATGTTCTTATGGCCCAGGAGTGCTCTCATAAATGGGTAAGTGAACTGAAGATCACTTTTGCTTTAATTAGTAAGAAACTAAGATCACTCTCTTTAATTAGTAAGAAACTTTTTGGTAAATAATTATTTACAAATCTCTGACACACCCAAGCACCTATGAGTCACAACAAAATTATGATCTTATTGGTAACTCATTAATATAGTAATGGTATTTGACCTCAGAAACTCTCTTTCATGCAGAACTTAAGCAATTAAAAGGTATAAATACATTTAGTTAATTAAAAAAAAATTATTTTGCATGGAAGAACTGGGGTGCAGGCCAGAGGTGTGGGGAATGAGAGGATTCACCAGAGACAGAGTGGGGAGCAGAATAGGCAGATTTACTGAAATACTCTGCTAAGGGGAGCAATGGGGAGACAGGAGAGGTCTGCTGCACTATATGTGGATTTGGTCCCTGATGGGGGTAGAACTCATGCCATGGAGGTGATATCATGATAGTGCTGAGACTTAAACCCTAGGCCACCAGGGAGACCCCTTAGGTAATTTTTTTTTAACTTTTATTTTAAAGTTAGATATTTTAAAAACACATTTATTATTACCAAATAAAAAGATATAGAAACAAGGATCATGCAATGATAGAAACAAGGATCATGCAATGAACAACTATACAAAGTCATTAAATAGTATCACTAAAAGTGTTTTAAGTAGCTCTTTAAATTTCTTTAACATTTTTAGCTTTTTTAAAATATAAATTTTGGAGGCTTGAAAATATTTCCTTGCCTTCAATTGTTGAGAAAATATTTGTTTTTGAAATTGGCTATTGAAGGTTGATAAAAAGTTTGAAATTTGCTTTTGCCAGACAAAATTATAGTAACATACAGTAATGTGGAACTTACCAGTGTGCTGGGATGTTTGTAGGAAAACATCAAAAAACAAATCTTGGGGCCTCCCCTGGTGGCGCAGCGGTTGAGCGCTGGGCCGCAAGGCTGCGCTCAGCCTTTGGAGCCGGTTCAATCCCCGGCCTCCGGCGAGGGTCCCACAAAAAAACAAAACAAAACAAAACAAAACAAATCTTGTAAACAAAAATTCAGAACAGTCTGATTTTTCTGCCTGTATGTTCCAGTTTGCTGGTTCAGGCAATGAGTCTGTGCCACAAGCCTGAGTATGTGGAATTTAACAGTTATTTGAGAATTGTATTGAATATGATGTAGAAAAGAAGGTTCCACTTAGATTTCTGCACCTAAGTGACAATATTCTGGATTTGTCCTTCTCTTTCATCTTATTTCACTCAGCATAATCCCCTCCCCACCTCCAGATCCTTGTTGCTGCAAATGATGAGAGAGTTTATCTTTTTGATGGCTGAGTAGTATTCCATTTTATGTATCTACCACATCTTGATCCACTCATTTGTATTTGGTCACTTAGGTTGTTTTCATAACTTGGTTATTGTAAATAGAGCTGCAGTGAACATGGGAGTGCATGTTTTCCTTTGAATGAGTTTTTTGTGTTCTTTAGGTAGATACCTAGGAGTGGAATCACTGGGTTATATGATAGATCCATTTTCGGTCTTTGAGGATCCTCCACATTGTTTCCAGAGGGGCTAGCCCAGTCTACATTCCCACCAATATTGTATGAGGGGTCCTTTTTCTCCATATCCTGGTCCATACTTTTGTCTCTGGTCTTTTTGATATGGGGAACTCTTACAGGCCAGGAGGTATCTCATTGTGATTTTGATTTGCCTTTCCCTGATAAGTGATGATAAATATTTTTCATGTCCCTGTTGGCCATCTGTGTGTTTTTTTTGGAGAAGTGCCTGTTTGGCTCTTCTGCTCATTTTTTTGATTGTGTTGTTTTCTCTTTTTTTGAGTTGTAGGAGGTTCTGAGACTTTTTATATCAGCCCCTTGTCAGATGTATGGTGTGCCAGTCTTTTCTTTTGCTGAACTTTTGAATTTGATATAGTCCCAGTTGAGAAAACAGGTAATTGACTTTCACTGGTAGATCTAAGGAAGGTGATGAAGGAACTGTGTATGCTGGGGTGGGGGAAGGGAATGTAACTGGAATGTAATCAGAATGTCATAGCTATTTTCAAGAAGATTTTGCCTTGGGATAATAAATAAGTGTATTTTTCTTCAAAGGTGAAGCCACAATTGAAAGATGAATTATATTGAAGAATTAGTATTTTTTAGGAGTGACCATCCAACCAATAGAAGGAATTAACTAGAAGTCAGTAATTATGTCATTTACTTCAGTATGACTGAGGACATGCCGTGTCTCCCCAGAGGATGAAGGACGAGTTTGATGATCAAGAGAGCCAAAATTTATTCTTAACATTGGAGGTTTGAACATCTTGGTTAGTACATTAATTTATCTCACTATTTGTCCAAAAGTCCTTTGTCCGACTACATGAGCAGATTGATGACATCAAATGGTAGCAATTCCACAGTTTAGGTAGGTCTAGATGGGAATGCCAGCAATGGTTGTAAGTTCTAGTTAGAAAGATACAAGATTAATCCTGTTAAGATCCTGTCAGACAGGTCAGGTAGATTCCTGCAACACAAGACATTACTCAAAGGTAGTAAAGGGCAGATGAGGAGATGAAGTTCTTAGGGCTGCAGAGACCCAGAACAAATGACATGCAGCTTGAAATAGGGCTGGCATTCAGACTCCAGACCACCCCTCCCTGCATCTCTGTGGCTCCAGTCCCAGTTCTTGAGAGGAAAAGAATGTCAATCACATGACGCCAGAGTGACAGTCCCCAGTAGAATTTACTAAATAATCTGCATTACAGGGGACTTTAGAGAAAAAAAAAATAAAACCCCCCAAACACACCTTTTTTTTTTTTTTTAAACCCAGAATCAAATCTACAAATGCAGTTGACACTCTTAAATTACATACAGGGGAATCAAAACCTTTTTGTTTTGGGGGCCTCCCTGATGATGCACGGGGTTAAGCACAGCACTATGAAGCAATTCGCAGCATCTGCAGCATGAGTTTGATCCCCAGCCGGCCAGGGAGCAACCCACATTGCGCAGCAGACCTCTCCTGTCTCCCTGCTGCTCCCCTCAGCAGTGTATTTCAGTAGATCTTCCTGTTCTGTTCCCTGCTCTGTCTATGGTGAATCCTCTCACCACCCACACCTCTGGCCTGTACCCCAGCTCTTGTATGCATAAATAAATAAATCTTAAAAAAAACAAAAACTTTTTGTTTTGGAAGTCCAGTCTGATGCTATTATATACAGTCCTGGGAAATAATAAGAAGAGGTTTAGCCCACCATCACCTGCAATTTCTCTGTCTCTGTCTCTAGCACTGTCTCTAGTTCTCTGTCTCACAAACATAAGCTCTAAGCCTGGTCTCTCCTGTAAAATTGGTATGATAACACTTGAGTTGTTGTGTTCTTACAATATAATATATTACGTGAAAGCACCTTGAATGCAGTACACATGCAAGCAGTCTGAAGATCTTATACTGAGAGTAAATAATTTGCATGTAACAACTTACTGTTTCTCTGGGGGTGAAATTCTCCAGCCTGAGTGAGCTTCTTTCAGGTGATCAGTGTGGCCATTTTGGGAACATAACATCTCAACATATTGAAGAGTGCATTCCCCCTTTTATGGCAGAAGGAGTAACCCCAGGGATATGATAACTTACTTTGTGATGAAAAGTTTTTTTAAAAAAGCTCTTTGGGGCCTCCCCTGGTGGCACAGCAGTTGAGCGCTGGGCTGCGAAGCTGTCCGCAGTCTCCGCAGTGCCGGTTCGATCCCCGGCCACCTGCGAGGGTCCCACATGGCACGCAGACCTCTCCTGCTGCACCTGCTGCTCCCCTCAGCAGTGTATTTCGTCAGTCTGCCAGTTCTGCTCCCTGCTCTGGCTCTGGTGAATTTTCTCACCCTCCCACGCTTCTGACTGTACCCAGTGCTTATATAAATAAATAAATCTTTAAAAAAAAAAAAAGGCTTTTTGTTTTGGAGTGATAATTCAAAATTGGGGAATTGGATCAGGAAATATCCCTTTGAATATCAAAAATTCTTTTTTTAAAAAAAAATTTATTTAGGGCCTCCCTGGTGGCGCAGCGGTTGAGCGCTGGGTTGCGAAGCTGCCCGCAGCCTCAGCGGCGCCGGTTCCATCCCCGACTGCTCCCCAGCCACCAGAGGAGGGTCCCACATGGCGCGCAGACCTCTCCTGCCGCCCGCTGCTCCCCTCAGCAGTGTACTTCGGTCCTTCTGCCTGCTCTGCTCCCTGCTCTGGCTCTGGTGAATTCTCTCACCCTCCCGCGCTTCTGACTGTACCCAGTGCACGTACAAACAAACAAACAAATAAATAAATAAATATACATGCCTCTTTAAAAAAAAAAAAATTTATTTATTTATGCATACAAGAACTGGGGTGTAGGCCAGAGGTGCAGGGGGTGAAAGGATTCAGCAGAGGCAGAGTGGGGAGCAGAATATGTAGATCTACTGAAATACACTGCTGAGGGGAACAGTGGGCGCGACAGGAGAGGTCTGCTGCACCATGTGGGTCAGCTCCCTGGCTGGGGTTCAAATTCATGCTGCAGTGGCTGCTGATAGCTTAATAGTGCTGTGTCTCTAACCCCTGCGCCACGAGGGAGACCCTAAATTGCAAACTCTTTAACTAGAGTGCAGAATACTTGCTGAAAGAGAACCTAGGCTCTTCACAGGACCAGGTCCTGGGATCATTGTCACATATTCATTTAACAGAGCTCTTAAATGTCTCCTTACATATCATCTATTAAGATCATAATAAAAGATGTTATTTAAAAACATTGGACAAACTGGGCTTTCTGCAAGAGTTTACTGTGGTGTTTTTATGGGGCCCAAAAAGTGGTCATTATTGGGTAATTAACGGATATGTACAGTATTATTAATAGCTTGTTCAACTTGAAGACTCTCATAGTTATTAAAAATAGTGCCCTGTACTTGCTCACAGTATCACTCAGACATTGCTAAAACTTTGAGTATCTGTTTGTATCTTTAAGAATCCATTAAAAAAAAACCTCTTGGTTGCAATTAAGAAATGCTTAGAATTGAAGGCAGAAAGGCATCCAAAAATATTAATCAGAACCGGAGCCTCAGAGTCAACATTTGTTTTTGTTTTCATTTTTTTGCATAATCAGTGATAGAGATTGGTTGGAATTTGGTACTCGAGAGCCCCCAAATTTAGACGAGCCACAAGAAGCAGCTGATAACTGCAGTTGCAGAAATAGACTGAGTGCAGTCTTCCTCTGGCTTTCTTCTTGTGGAGAGAAAAGAAACTAAACCAACTTTTCCACCTTTCTGTGGAGCTCAAAGTCAGGTTTGGGGTTCATACAGAGGGCTAGCCCTGCCTCCTGTCTGACTCCAAAGCACATCTCAGCATGCACCGGGCAAGTGAGTAAGGGCGTCAGTCCTATGCAGACAGTCAGCGATCAGGGGTGTCATGGATGAGCAAACCACTACTAAGCCAGGTAACACAGCTACTTCCAAGGTGCTCAATGACTAATTTAAAGGGCAGGTTTGCAGAGGGGTCCTGGCATGGAAGGGAAGGAGCAAGACAGTCACATCACACTCTCAGATAATTACTGAACAATTTAAAGGCAGTTGCTGACCTTTGAGATTCTTTGCTCTGAAATCGCAGTGAAGGTTGTTGCAGTTATGATAGATTGTTACTTGCTAAATGATAGGTGTGGCCAAACTTGACATGGAAAAGACAGCAAAGTTAGTTTAAAACCTGAGAGGAAAAATTAGACAAAGTTCATTTTGAAATTATGTTCAAACGGTCTGTTGATAGGAAGGGAAAAGGTGGTTGACCAGTTAGCCCTTCCCCCCCCCCCACCCCTCCCAGATCACTTCTAAGAAGAGATAGAGAGTAGACATGAAAAAGAAAAAGCCCAGTTCCAGCATGGCAGTGGAAAACTTTCTGTGCATGTTATTCTCTAAAAACATATCTGAAAGCCAAAATAATTTTTATCTAAACAGGCACAAATATTGTGAAAGAAAATAGATGTGAATAATAAAAGAAGTGCAGAGGGCAAGTGTCTGCCTCTCTCTGAAAAGTAAAATGTTAACAACCCAGAGCCCCAAGGGGAGAAAAATGTATTGAATTTCTCACCCAAATATGAACGCTTTGTGCTCAGTTTCAGAGAATATTTTTGGAGTCCTTTTTTTTTTTTTTAAACTCCTGAGTAAACCAATTGAATTTTTTTAAAACCAGGTTTCATATCAACAAAAAAGGTTTTCTCCACTTTGTTACTTGTCTTCTCAGTTAGAAAAAAATGTACTCACCAAAAAGTACCTTTAATTTCACTGTTTTCCTTAAATTTTATAAGCAGTAGAAGTTCGGTTTACCCTTCATCCTTGAGATAATCCTTTTTTCTAGAATGTTGACGATCTCTTATCTGTATTATCTACCCATTGATGTATTTCGATCAGTATCTATAATTACAAAGATGTAACACTGCAAACTTTCATTTAAAACGTGGAAAACTGTCCTGGGTTTAGGTAGTCTATTGATGGGATTATACTGTTAGTTTTCTATGTTAAGTCTATATGAGTTGCTGGGTTACATAAGCACAAGGATCAAAGTCATGGCTGGTGGAAGATCTTGTAGTAAGAGGGAAACCGAGGCCTTGGGGCACAGGTTTAGACTGTGCCTTTTAGACTGTGCCATCCCTTTTTTTTTTTTTAAAGATTTTATTTCAATTTATTTACTTATGTATACAAGAACTGGAGTGTAGGCCAGAGTTGTGGGAAGTGAGAGGGCTCGCCAGAGACAGAATGGGGAGTGGAACAGGCAGATCTACTGAAATACACTGCTGAGGGGATCGGTGGGCAAGACAGGAGAGGTCTGCTGCGCCATGTGGGTCAGCTCCCTGCCTGGGGATTGGGTATCGTGCTGTAGTGACTAGCTTGTTAGCTCTGAGACTTTAACTTTAACCTCTGCACCACCAGGTCTCCATTCTTAGCTCATACCTTCCTCAGCCTATGACCCATGTGGTGACCACTTCTCAGCTCCTTAAACAAACCAGAGTTTTAGTTGTCAGGCTTTTCCGGATGCACTTCTTTCTCCCTGGAAGATACTTCCACTCAAGTCCTCTGTCTCATTTTTTTGTGATCTCAACTTATTTGCCATTTCTTTAAGGAGTTGTTCTTAACCTTGATCTAAAATAGCTCCTCGGGCCTCCCCTGGTGGCGCAGCGGTTGAGCGCTGGGCTGCGAAGCTGCACGCAGCCTCCGCAGTGCCGGTTCAATCCCCGGTCACGGCGAGGGTCCCACATGGCTCCACAGACCTCTCCTGTCTGGCCCGCTGCTCCCCTCAGCAGTGCATTTCATCAATCTGCCTGTTCTGTTCCCCGCTCTGGCTCTGGTGAATTCTCTCACCCTCCCGTGCTTCTGACTGTACCCAGTGCTTGTATAAATAAATAAATAAATCTTTAAAAAAATAAAAAAATAAAATAGCTACTCACTTATAGACACCTCCGTCTAATCCTCTGTTTATTTCCTTTCAAAACCATATCATGTTTGTTTGTTGTTTGGTTGGTTAGTGTCTTTCTCTCCCTCATTAATAAATCCAACTCTGGGGGCCTCAGGGCCACACCATCTTTCTCAGTGCTGTCTCTCCAGCGTCTAGTGTAGGGTTTGGCAGATAACAGGGGACCAGTAAGTATTTGTGGCATCAATGAAGTGTATACATCATTAGCACAACCATGAGGCCATGAAAAAAGAGGAGATTGCTGTTTGATTGGTTTCTGTTACATTTTACTGAATTCAAAAGTTACTAGTACCTAAGTGAAGTAGCTACATCAGTTGTAAATTATTGTATTGCTTAACTGGGTTAATGCTGTTGAGAAAGCACAGCAATAGGGTAGGAAGAATTTCCATATACATTTCTGTAATGACATGAACAGACTAGCTATGGGGTGGAAGAATTTGACTCTTTGATACTAAATGTGCTGTTTTTTTAGTTAAAGTCAATAATACTTTGATAGGAATAATGTAGTTGGTACATGAGGTGCATTTTTATGCTTGGCATAATTATATAAATGATTGCACACATACTTTATTTTGATATTAATCAAGGGGGAACATGCAACTAGCTTCATGGGAATTCTGGGTGTGTATGTTTCATGAATTGTAAAAGCCATGTAAATTTATGGTCTTATTACTATTTTATGGTTGAAAACACAATAGATTACATTAACAGAAATCTCTTAATAGGACTATTAGCTTTTCCTTTTGAATTTGGATAGACTTAATGGAAGCATAAGTTTAGCTGCTATGGGTGTAATAACATCTATGGTGAAATCAAAGTAAGTTGTAAAACCTTGGATAGTGCTGTGGCTCATAGTGAAAATGTCCCATCCTCAGATTACAGAGATGAGCTTGCTTGTTTTTGACCAATTTCACCCTTTGCTTTCCAACTCTGCCCCCAAGAAAGTCCATCACAGTGGTGAGCTTCTTAAGATGAAACGGTCATAAAGTGGAAAGTCACAAAAGTCAGCTAGATACTGACCAAGGTAGATTTAATCCAGGCTCAGAATCAAAGAATCACTGGATTCTAGTGCTGCAGGGAACTTAAATTTACTCTAACCCAAAAGTCTACACTCAAGTTGATTTCCAGTCTTCTAAGAAAACTGAAGAAATTAGTTTCATTACTCCTTGACCCATATATAATACCCAACCATGTATCCTTCAAAGGTGCCTTATCTCTGCCACATCTCTGTATGTGTGCTTGTTACCATGGCCCTTCACCTTCCAACCAAGAAGGAATGCAGTGATTCTGCGTTTATGAGTGCCAAGGCTCTTTACCTAGCAATGTCAGAAGACATCTGAACATTTCTATAGGATTTCCTTTTCAGGCCTCTATTTCTATTTTCTCCTACCCTATGGGAATTCTGCCCCTCCCAGGACTTTTCTCTGTGCTCTGTCTTAGCTTAGTAGGTAGGCCTGCTGTGATTGCCTGTTAGCTGCTGGTTCTATTAACTCAGTCTCAAACAGCAGCTTTGCATGTAAATTAACATTTGAGCACCTAGAACACAAAGTGATAAGAAACTCATAAAATGACAGCTGACTTGAACCAACTACTCAGAGGACAAAAGAAAGTTTTTCAGAGAATAAGATAATACTGTTCAATGTGACTATTGGGTGCAGGTGGTATGATTCAAGGTCACAGGCACACCCTACAGAATTATTCTGGGTAAATAAGAAAATATTCATAAACTGTTGTGAAGACTACATCTCCAGTATTTAATTCAGTTTAAGAGGAAAGGTTGATTGCTCCAAATTTAGGTGATTGTATCTGTCAGTCACAGGAATACATAATCAGTCCTAGCTTTGCTTATAGCGGGGCAGACTCTCATTATTACACTCATATATCTTTAACATCTTCAGTAAGACGTTCAATGTAAAATGAAGGTTTTATTAAAGACAAAACTTAGTTATGAGAATTTTACCATGACCATAACTTTATAATCCATTGATATTGTACATGAATTACAGCATTTCCCTCACTCATTTTATTATGACCTTTACGAGAAGAGTAGAAATCCCAGCAGCCATTGAGCAAAATAATTTGTTTTGCTCTTGTCAGTTTCCAAGAACCATGTTAAGTTGAGGACTTAGTATATTTATGTATCTATTTCTAGTGTAAGACTCCCAGCTCAGAAAAAACATCAAAGGACATTCATGATAAGTCAAAAACTAAAATGAAAATTTGAGATACCTACCTAGAAAATAGAGACCAGATAACACTGAGAATTTCAGATACCTAGAACCCTAGGGAACACCATTAATAGAGAAACAAGATTGTGTGGAGGCAAATTTGGGGTTTCATCTCAGTTCTTGAATGGGTAGACTCTGTAATCAATGTTTTTGTGGAGCACACTATCAATACCCTTCATATTAACCCAGACTCAGTTATATTATATGATTACATTAGCAGAATAGGTCTTGGTTGTTGGTGCTGTCTGTCATTACCAAAAAGCCAAAGAGCAGTGACAGGAATTGAACCTACAAGTGCTTTTATTTTTCAGGTCCTAGGGCAGTGATCTGTGGGCATAGCATGCTGAAGAGAGCATTTTGCCAGCTGCCCTCTAGCTGGCCTTTTTATAATGGGTTAGACAAACAGCCATCACAGTTGATGTTCCCATATTCATCATGGTCAGTCCCCAGAGCTTGCCATCAGCCACAGGTTATCTTAACACTGGTAGATCTGATGGCGACCCTGTCTGGCACTCATTGGGGCATCATTGTGCCAAGAATCTCAGTTCAGAGCAAGAGGTTTAATTTAAAGAAAGCACATCATTCGTCATCCAATGTGTATGTGCAGCCTGTGCTCTCTCTCTCTCTGTGTGTGTGTGTGTGTGTGTGTGTGTGTGTGTGTGTGCAGATTCTATACAGGTATGGTGCCTCCTCTTCCTATCCCCCTATCAATGAGATTAACATCCTAGCCACATGTCGGGTGTAGAAGCTGTGCTTTGCTGACACAGAGCATTTCTCTACGACCTCAGCTTCTCTCTCCCACTAGAAAGCTGGTGTCAGGAGTTCACTGGTTCCCTTTCACAAGAACCCAGTATTTCCTGAACAAGGGAATGGAGACGTGAAATACCACAGAGTGGTCTGTCCAAGTTCAATTCTTTGAAAAAGTAGTACCTTGGAAGTTTAGAGGTTAAGTTTTTAGAATAATTTTCAGAAATTGTTGCTCTTCTGGGGCCAGTGTCGAGGGCATTCAAAATAAATGGTCCAGCATCAACATGGTGTTTGCAGAACAGCATCTAACAAAACCAGGCCATCCCAAACCCTAGTCACAGAATCCTTTACCTTTTTATCAAAGGGGGAGATTGAGAATGCACCTAAATTCTCAAGTGCCTATAGCTTGGGAGACTTTCTGGGCTTGTCTGCAAGGAAAGGAGGTGTCAGCAGTGTCTATCTTTGATAAGATCAAATGTGCTTTTCTTATTGAGGAGCAAAAAAATCATCATGAAGGTGCTCAAGGCACACGCACAGTCAGGAAGCTAAATAAAAGCTAAACCT